ATGTTCTTTATGTGAACCTGCTTCCTGTAAGCACACTGTGAATGATAAGAAGGTAAATTACGTTCTATAGTTCCACAGTTACCTTTCTGGTTATCAATGGATCAACACGAAGCGAAACACCTTGTTCTACATTCACTGTTCTTCCACTTTATTCTCTTTATCCCCATCTAGTTTGTTTTGGGGTTTGTTTTTTCAATTAACTGAACATTTTAGGGGAGAGAAGAGGGGGGGTCCAAGAGTGAGACTAGTCTTCTCTCAATATTGGTGAAATTGTTGTTTTAGGTCAAATTTTGCACCACTTTTTTTTTTTAAATTAAGACATTTTTCATACTGCATGAGCAACATGCAGTATGTTGTTGTAGGGGTTTTGTTGTTCTCCCGCCCTGGCGGGGGGGGTCGGGCTAGAAGATCTACTTGGTCCCTTCCGACTCTAAATCTATGAAACTATGAACAGATTCAGAGATCAGCCCATTATATTTGAATACATGGTCATAATAATTACAGAGATGAGGATTTGAATCAGAATGGTCTTTTCAAAAAAAATTAGCAAGAAAATATGAGTTATGCTATGATAACTGTCATTCCCAATTTGTAATTAAGACATGCTGAAAAAGGTAAGAACTGATGTAATATGGAATGAAGAAATGGGTTCTCAGGAACTACAGTCTGAAAACAGATCACTTGGAATATTTCTGGAAGTGACAGCCCTAAGGATGGCCAAGGGATGAACAACTCCTTGGCATGCATGCTGGAAGCCAAAATTGATAGCTACCCAAATGTTTTTCAATGCATCACATTGATGTGCACAGATTAGGTCTGTCCTCTGGGAGCTGACAACAAACACTGCTAGAGAGTGCTGTGCAGATATATCCAAGAGAGTTCTGAGTAAGCTAGCTCAGGTAGCTAAAGCAGTGTAGCTGTATTAGTTTGCTACTTGGTCTCACTGTGAAGCCAGCTTGGGTAGCTCTCCACAGCAGGATAATGTGTATGCCCATGGTACAGTAAGGGCATTTATACACACGCTCCAGGAGTGGGGGAGGAAGGAGGAAACTTTAATTAGAGTAACTCCAAGAGTTGCTTTAATTAAAGTGCCTGGAGCATCTTATGCATCAGCATCCCCATACTGAGAAATGGTGGCAGGGGCACTTTAATTAAAGCTCAAACAAGCTTTAAAGTACCCCTGCCACCATTTTTCAGTGAGGGGATGCTGATACATGAGACACTGGAGTCTGCTGTAGCACAGTAAACCACGCTCCAGTAGACTCGATTAATCGAGTCTGCTCCAACATGTTGTAATTACAGCATATCAGAGCAACCTTGCTGCTCATGTATAAGCACCCTAAGTGACCTGCAAATGATTGTTTAAGCCTTCAAAATCAGGAATAGCAAATCTACTCTTCTAATCTTTCTGGGAGAAAGAATCCTGGAAATTACAGCTTAACAAGCTAACAAAGTTATTTTATTTACACCAGGGCCTAAAACATGTTAGCCAATACATTTAAAAACCCACATTTCATCCTAGTCTTGATACACCTTTGCAGTACAACTCTGCTATAAAGAGTGACCGTGTAATGGCAACACCCTTCTGCTTGGATCTGCTCCCTGTGTACATACTTAGCCTGAGTGTTTTGCTAGAAGTATGGTTACCTTTATTCTAAGCTTCTCTGCCATAGTTTCTGTGTTTGGTTAATTGGTTAGTTTTTTTGTTTCAGTTAGCACAGAGAGAAAGGTGGGAGTTCTTTTTACCACTGCTGAGCCAGCACAGCTGAGTCAATGAACTGAATGATGTCCAATCTCAGGGGAAATACTGTCCTCTGTTACATGTTTTCAGCTGCCTATGAGGGCAAAATTTAGCCTGAAGAATTTATTATTAGCGACAGAATAGCAGACTTTTCAGACACCAAGCCAAAGTGTCTGGCCTGACAGAAAAGTATCCATCTTACCTTATAAGTTTTCTATGAAAACAACCAGAAAATACAGAACCTCATAAGATTATTCCTAAGCACCCATTTTCAACATAGATCCATTCAAGAACAGAAAGTATTCATTGTGCATTCATTTTATACACCCAGATTCAAAGCAATACAGAATTGCACTTCTAAGATCAAGAACAGGGTGTCATCTCAAAAGTGTCTCCACTTGGCAGGTTTTCAGCCAGTTACTGTATCTGTTTACTACCCAATCTCATCAGACCTTTGAGACTACAAGGATTTGAGGATTCATGGCAATGGCTTGGACTGAATGAAGCTGATGGGAAAGGCTCTACCGCTGGATATTGGGGAGACAGGTGCTGCTTCTTCACAGGAATAAACTGATGGGTCACCTCCTCTTCCTTCATGAGGTGCTTTGAAAATGTACACTTAAGAATAAACAACACTATAAGGTTCTAACATTTCAGTTAATTTAAGAGCAAATACATTATGATTATAAGGTAATTTGTATCCACTATTAGACCAGACAATTTAGAGACTGTCAGGAATTTGCCAACAAGACAAGTTTCAGTGGAAAACAGATTTGATGAAACTCAAACTTTTCTCAGAAACATTTTCCACTGTCAATAATCATGAAATTTATGGTCAAAACCAGAGATAGCCCCTCACCCATCCCAGCTTAACCAAGAATTAATACCCTTCCTTGAAATGGGGTTCAAGTTCCTGCTTTGCCAAATTCAGACCAGGGACCAATCTCCTATAGCAGCCTAACCACCTACTGCTGTCTTAGTCTCTCTTTTCGAGCTGCAAGTGCATTGGAGGAGGTGGGTTAGTTCTCTTTTTCTTTCAGTTTGAAAAGGTCTTGGTTTCTTCTCGATGAAAATCAAAAAAAAAAAAAAACCCAAACTCACCACACACCAATCAGAAAGGAGCTATATGAAGAGAGAGGCCAACAAGATCAAGGCCACTGCCTCAGTTACTTTTACAAGATGATTTCCCACCAGCAATGTGGGCAGGAGAGAAGCAAGAAACTTAAACAGGGCAAGGGAGCAGGAGAGTAAACAGAGTAAATTCCTTCCACTGAATTTCCCTTCTGCTGTAAGGCCTAGTGGCTTGCAATTTCTTAGCAGTTTTTTCTAAGCCTCTCAAGCCAGTCCTTCAGAATCCATTTTAGGATGACAATTCCTGCCCTCTCCACCCTGGGCTCCAGCATGAGGAATCACGCATCAGCATAACATTGGAATTTTATTTAGCTATTAAAAGAACTGCTCTTAAATAAATTAAGCTGTTGAACACTTCACTAATCATACCCTTTGAGCTTCCCAGTCCATGTACTTTAAAACCAAGTTTACTTTAGCACAAGCAGCTGCACGTGGTATTTTTACTAATAAAATTTCTTAGTTGAGGCCTACTGTTTACCCTTTTCTCTAAAAAAGTCGTGCATTAATATTTTGACAATCATGCTCTCTCTGATCCTGCAGTTTCTTTAAATATTTTACATTATTTCAGTATTACTGTTAAACTGTAAACCTAGAAAGCCAAAATCTATTACAATCAAATCAAGTAAGATAGTTGTCAAAACCACTAAACAGACCTAACAAAAGTAAGGGTTTTTAGCTAGGTAGTATATATAAAAGCATACTCCTAACCAAATAAATTAACAAAGTGTGCATTTCTGCCATAACTTTTTTCTCAGCTCAAATTTTACAATTGCTGCATGTGGTCCCACTTCCTGTCTTGCCAGGTACCTACTGAGAGCAAGCACAAAAATCTAAGCCTATCACAGTTATTTGTATTCCAACAGTTTCTTTAAGACCAAAGTTACCTCTGAGCCTCATCATCATGATTAGATAGGAAAACAACTGACCCCCTTAATAGTTCGACAAGTCAAACATGCACTCAAAAATAGTTCAACTAAGCTTTATTTTTAAATATGGCACCAAAATACCATGCTTGTAAAGTCCTCAGGACAATGAGTACTTTCGGTTTTCAGTACTGAACTATGAAAGTCTTTCTGGTTTGATTCAATGACTGGCTTGACTGGTTCTCTTATCAATAAAAGGCACAAACTTGCATTTTACCTAACAGCTGGGGCTGAGAAGCATTTAAGAAGGATGACTTTTCCCACCACCTTTTAGAGAGCAGACACTAAGCATTTCAAGGTGAACATGGGAGGCAAGACGTTAACCTTTCAAAGTCAGGTGAAACAGTCCCTAACAACACAGCACCATGGGAAAGTTAACCTAAAAAATGCAACTTGAAACAGGCGGCCTTAGTGTCACTTTCAGTTAAACAAGGCACATGTTGGAAGTTGTGTGCGATACATTTTGACAGATTTCTGAATTACCCTGGGGAAAGCAACCCGTTCCTGCTGGGCAAAACCAAG